GGCTCGTGCTGTAAAATCATTGTATAGGGAGAGGTTACTATTGATCTATCCAGCACTAATCAGTCATACATCCATTGGACAAAGTTTTTTCTATTATATATCAATATCTTTATTATTTTTATAGCATTATAGTGAAGGTCAGTGGGTTATTTCTTATCTTATAATACCTGGTTAGTAGGTTCAGAGGTTCAATAGCTAATATTTACTTTTTATATGATGCTTCATACAAAGAGAAAATAGTTATAAATCCATCTAAAAGATTTATTAGTTTTTTTGAGACATCTGTTTTGACATTAAATATGTAGCTTGTGAATCTGCCATGCCCACTGCCTACAAATTTTTCATGCTAGTGTAATTTAACATCAGTTGGTGTATAAGTATGAAGTTTCTATCTTGAGTAGATTCATTTTAAAATATGTTAAGTATTGTTCATTTAAAAAGAACCATATTAAATGACAAACTCTTATTTTCTGATTTTTTAAGACTGTGTAACATCGTCCTTTATCCCTGTCAAGCCTTTCAACATGATGGCTCAACCAGAACCCACAGTGGAGGTGGAAGAGTTTGTTTACGACTCATCAAAGTATTGTCGTCCTTATAGAGTATACAAAAATCAAATATACATTTACCCCAAACACCTCAAGTATGACAGCCAGAAATGTTTCAACAAGGTATGATACAAGTTTCGGAGATACCATCTTCTCTTTTCACCACATTTAGACCATATAAGATGGTTTCTTGAAGGTGCAAAGATAAATTACTATAGGCCAGCACTTTGCAATAGAAAACTATCTGGAGAAAATGCTTGGTAAGGAGCAGTGATACGTTTCACCTTATGAGTGTGTAAGGATGTCGTTTTGTGACATATTCATAATTCTTTCTGAAATCAGCCCTGAATAATTTTGTTCCAGACCAATTTTTTAGTTTCTTAAGATACTCTAAAAATAGCATGGCTGCTCCCTTTCCACATGAACTTTTACTTCCCTTTTAAATGATCTCTCCAGATCCTCTGCTATTTTGGAACTTTATGGATAATGTCATGTGAAGATGTTGGGTATTCTACATTTTGCAGATTTAATTAGAAGCTACTTATTTTAAGCACTTGGATTATTTTCTGATGTTATTTGATACGCAATTATAATTTCCATTTTTCCTTCTGTGATTTCAGGCACGAAATATAACTGTGTGCATTGAATTCAAAAATTCCGACGAAGAAGGCGCCAAGCCCGTGAAGGTGAGCCAAGTTATCCTGGGATACAGAGTAAAGGGGGAAGGCGGCTCATAGATTCTTTCCACCATCGAGGGGCCTTTTATGTGACTGTGGTTGAAAAAGGAGTAATTTAATACATCTGTTTTAAATTTTCTGAAAAGTACCTGATTTAATAGCCATCATTGACTAGATCTATGAGAAATACCTGTCTCATGGGTCTCTTAGTTTTTCATGACTTGGATAAAAGGAAACTATTCTAATGTGAAATAAACGCAAAGATTCCCCTTTGGAAGACACCACCGTTTTCAAAGATGAGTTTGCCTCTTGTTTCAATGTGCTTAATTTAAAATGGCACATCCCAGCCGGCCTTCGTGTGGTCTGTGCAGAAGGGCAGCTGCATACCGGCCTAATGGCTAACGCGGGGGCCCGCGGGATGCTCTTGTTTACCGAGGGTGCATGTAGCCAAATGTCTGAGGAACTGGAAAGTGGCTCTGGGAAGTCAGTCCCAGTTGTTGATCATGTGATTTAATAAGATCAATAAAACTATGAGGTTTGTATGAACTGTGCTACTTTAACCTATAAAACTGCAACTGGGTGGCATTTGTTAGAGTCCATATTTGATATATAGGATACTGTTTTTATTTTAGGGACTTAAACAACATAAAGTAACCTATAAAAATAGAGGGGAAAATCATTTTTCAGTGGGCCCGCTGCCAGGTCTTAGCAGTTTCAGTGAATCGGAGGAACAGGACAGTAAAGGACAAATCTGATTTCTAACGAACCCCCGCCATTCTCTGAGATACTCTCCTAAAGCGCTCTGTCGGGTACAAATCGTGTCCTCTAATTTATGCAACCGAGAAAGCTAGTGCCATTATTCGGTGAACGATATTCGATGTGAGTGACCGAATGAATGAATCATGGAGAGCGAAGAGGAGTTCAGTAGTCTTGGGCCGCTGTTAGCACGCGCAGGCACCGAGCTCCACAAGAGCATTCGCTTCGGGAAAGAAAAGCGAAATGTAACTGTCACGCAAACAGAGGCAAGGACCGAATGGCAAACATACCAGGCCTGCTAGAGAGATTTTTATAAGGAAAATTCAAGAAAAGAAGAACAATCAGGTGTGCAGATCCCCTGCCTCATTGCATTCTGAAACAGCACACAGAGATATGGCAAGGCCGGATGTCAGACTCCAGAAGACGAGCCCTGAGCCTTGGGCAAAGGGGCTCTTAAGCTCTGTGACTGGCCGGATTGGGGACTGAGATAGAATAGAAATGTAGTGTGGCGGAGCCTGGAACAGCCCTCTCCTGGCAGCTCAGCCTTCGTGGTGGAAGATGGCATGTCGGGCGGGGGTTGGGGTCAAACCAAGCCTTGCAGCTGCCGAGACCTTAACTCTAGACCAGAGCTGGTTCCACAGGCCCCTCCAGGAAGCCACTCTGCAGGGATCAGTCTCAAAGATGTTAGCCCTTGTGGTAATCAAAAGTCAGATAGTGAATTGGTCCAGGTATTTAGCCCTGGTATGTGATCTATATGCCGTGTAGAGGCCTTCAGATTTTCTTCAGCAGCATCCCATTGTGTAATAAATGCAGGGGAGTCAACCAAAGAAGTTCAAGGTTAATTAGATGTCATCTAAACTTGGCAAGTTATCACAAAATTCATCGTTGTCCCAGGATTAGCAAGAGAAGAGATGTGGCCTTTTTTTTTTTTGCCAAATGATAATTTCAGGTACTCATAATTGTTCAACTCATATCTTTTTAAACAGTGTATTTATGGAAAACCTGGAGGGCCCCTCTTCACCTCAGCTGCCTACACAGCAGTTCTACACCATTCCCAGAATCCAGATTTCTCAGATGAGGTAAGAGCCAGCCCTCTGCTGCCCTCAGCAGCTCCTAAGAAAGATGGGCGAGTGGTCCAATAATGCATAATGATAAACGCTTTCTCTAGACCACACCTCAGACTCATGCATGCCTTGGCAAGTAGGTACTAATCAAGATTTACATGCTACTCTAATTGACAGTTATTCCAAAAGTATGTTGCAAATTCATATATTTCAGCACAGATTGACCTTTGAAAATGCTATGTTTTTATTATATCATTCTTTTCAAGGGAGTCTAATTTTTTCTTTTGTTTCACTGGTCAGTGTAAAGCTTTACGAATCAATGGCAGCAATTCATGTCATAATGAAAAGAACAAAGAACTCGAGTATGAGCTAAAACCATTGCTTATAACCTGCATGAACTTGAGTGAGCTTGGCCCCCCTCATCTCTAAATGTGACAGGGAGCAAGCCCCACCCTGGCTAAGTCTTGAGCACATGTGGTGGTAACATTCATCTGGTTTCGGGCAGGTGGGAGAGGAAGGCGGGGATGGGTATATTCACACCTCATGGGTGCGGTGCGCACTGTCTGGGGGATGGGCAGGCTTGTAGCTCTGACTCGGGAGGGGCAAACGCTATATATGTAACCTAAACGTTTTTACCTTCATGATATTCTGAAATTAAAAAAAAACACTGCTGCCACGTGCCAAGCACCAAGCCACACTCCATACACACGTCATCTCATTTAGTCCCCATGGTAGTTCTGAGAAGTAGGTAGTATAATTACCTTCCTATTTTATGAATGAGGAAACTGAGGCTCAGACAAGTCAAGTAACTTTGCGGAGGGCACATATCTAATAAGTGACGGACAGAAATCAAGCCAAGCCATTGAGTCCAGGGCCTGAAGCTTCCCTACTCTGCCATAACACGTACAAAAGTCACTGGGTCAACAGTAAATTGCTATATACATGGCGGCATCATAAACACTTGACAAACAGGCTTCCAGGATAAAATTTAATTTCTAACCATAAAGCGAAGGTCTGAACTAGTGCAACCTGCTGATACGATGCCTAGGATTCAAAGTATCACACCTTTTGCATGAGTTTCCTATTGCTGCTGTCACAAGTTACCAAACTTCAGTGGCTTAAAACAACGTGCATTTGTTATCTTCCAGTTCTGCAGGTCAGAGGTGTGAAATGGGTCTCACGGGGCTAACATCCATCTGCAGGGCCGCATGCCATTGGGGGCTCTAGGGGAGAACCTGTTTCCTTACCTTTTCCAGCCCCTAGAGGCTGCCCACGTTCCTTGGCTTGTGACTCTTTGCCAACAATCTGTCACTCTGATCTCTGCTTCTGTTCCCACATCTCCTCTGACTCTGCCTCTCCTGCCTTCCTCCTGTAAGGACCTTTGTGATTACACTGTGCTCACTTGGAAAATCCAGGATACCCTCCCCATCTCACAGCCATTAACTTAATCACATCTGCTAAGTCTCTTTTACCATGTAAGAAAACGTATCAACAGGTTCTGGGGATTAGAACGTGGAGGACACCTTTTGAGGGGCATTTTTCTGCCTGCCGCACCTTGTTGCACATTAATCATGTTAAAATTAATTAAAGGAACACCAGTAAAACAACCTGCCTGACCTTATCTCTTTCTTCCATATCCATTTAATGCTTTTAGATTTTCCCCTATAAATCCAGGACAGAAGGTGAAAAACAGTTAAGGGAGAAAGCTATTATCAGATTACAGAATATTTACTGTATTAGTTGACCCTTTGGCATAGTCCATCAGAAAGGTGCATACTCCGTAGATATACGGTTTATAAAAAAAAATCGATGCTCTTACTGTTGTTAAGTCTTTTAATCCTTCTCATGCTCATGAGTTTCCTGGAATTCTCATAAAAGCCATGAGCTTCTCCACATGAGAATATGTACATAATGAACAGCCTGGTGATCTCTGCAATGCAGATTCAAAAGTAAGGTTTTATGCTCTTTATTGTTGCAAAAAAAAAGATTGTATTAATTTCAAAAATGAGTGTAAATTCTTCCAAGGCACAATTATAATAAAATGTGAATATCTGCAGTCTTCGTTAAATGAAGGATGTTTGCATTAACTTTTAGTTAACTGGAGTTCTTGAGTACTTGTTACATTCCCATGTGCTCTTAATGTTGGCTAAAAAGGAAAAGTTCTTTCTATTGCATTGTTTATTGTTGTGTATTTCAAAATGTATGTTGGCTTTTCTTACCAGGTTAGCATGCTGACATAGAATATGTAAGCCTGTAAGCCATCTGAATTCAGGGATTCTCAGATTTACTAGGTATCAGAATCACCTGGAAGGCTTGTTGAAACACATATTACTCCAGATTTCCAAATTCAATACATCTGGTTTGAGGCTGAGAATTTGCACTTGTAACAAGTTTACAGGTGGAAGCTGGTACCGATATTTCAGGGACCACATGTTGAAAACTGCTGTCTTAAATCCTTTCTTGAACTATATGAAAATAAATTAGCTAGATGCACAGAACATCTAATAAACAAATTAGTAGATAATTTGCATGGCTATCACCTTATTGTTTTATTTGACAATTCTGGGAACTACTTAGTTGCTGATATTGAGCCGAATATAGCTTATCTAAACAGGATCCTGGAATTTCAGTGTAAAGCGGACATCAAAAGATGTGGGTTCTTGGCTGGGCACGGTGCCTCATGCCTGTAATCCCAGCACTTTGGGAGGCCGAGACAGGAGGATCGCTTGAGGCCAAGAGTTTGAGACTGTCCTGGGTAAAAGAGTGACCCTGTCTCTCCAAAAAATAGAAAAATTAACCAAGTGTGGTGGTGCCCACCTATAGTCCTAGCTACCTGGGAGGCTGAGGCAGGAGGATCACTTGAGCCCAGGAGTTTGAGGCTGCAGTGAGCTGTGATCATGCTACTGCACTCCACACTCCAGCCTGGGCAACAGAGCAAGACCCTATCTCTAAAAAGAAAAAAAAAAAGAAAAATATCCACATGTGAACACATGACTGCTAGCAGAAAGAATATTTATTGAGAGTTAAATCAGTACATTCGACACTAATTATTAAATATGTACCTAGACTTCAGTTAAAGAACTTTAAAAATGTTTTGTCTTGTTCTGACCCTGAGCAAATGATTTTAATCTCAGTCCAACTCTGGTTTCTTTCACTGCAGGTGAAAATTGAGCTACCAACACAACTCCATGAAAAACACCATATTTTGTTTTCTTTTTATCATGTCACCTGTGACATAAATGCAAAAGCCAATGCCAAAAAGAAGGAGGCTCTGGAAACATCAGGTACTGACAGGAAGCGATCTGCAGTAGCTTTACACATCATCTGTTTGGCTTGAGTTGGAGAGTGTTTTAAATGCTCTGATTTACTGAATTTTTTTAGTGAAGTTTAATATTCGTAAATGACAAATAGCTTTATTGTTACTTCTTAGCATGGAGGTTTGCACTCAAAAGTTTTCTCTTTGTCGTTCCTTTGCACAGTTGGATATGCTTGGCTTCCTCTGATGAAACACCACCAGATAGCTTCTCAAGAGTATAATATCCCCATAGCAACAAGTCTGCCTCCTAATTATTTAAGCTTTCAAGATTCTGCAAGTGGAAAGGTATTGGGTAATGTGTAATTTAGTAACAAAATACACATCAGCCAAATGGATGAGGTTATCTTCCTTCTCTGCTATTTAATTTAAGACCATAGTTTCTGTGTCCACTGTAGTTATGAATCAAGGGTACCTAGTCTAAATCTCTTGTTTAGTTTCTGGACACTAGAAATGATCTATTAAAAATGATCCCCTGATATCATATTGGTCTCATTACTCGTATTGCCAAATGTATTTGTGTCTTTCATTTTCCATCTTTATAGTAATGTAAGATTAATTGATCAGGTTGACAAATTAACATAAACTAAATAACCTAATAACCAATAAATAACCTATTTATTGTCTTTCTCTCAAATTGTCACAGTCATAGTAACAAACTCTTTCTTGCAGCATGGTGGGAGTGACCTTAAATGGGTTGACGGTGGCAAACCACTTTTCAAAGTATCGACCTTTGTCGTATCAACAGTGAATACTCAGGTGAGTCCATGGTCCTGAAATATCAGCGTCTTCTCTGACACATAGAGTCGTGACGTGACTCCCGTATTTACAGCATAAGACCAGTCATTTCATGAGGTGTCAGAAAAGCAGGGGACTGGATACTGCAAAGGAAGAATGTTCAGAGCATAATTTTATGCCTCTCTCAAGACACAGCCTGTCCTAACCTCTTAAGTCCAGACACCATAAAACTTCAGACCAAGATCCCAGAGGGCTTTTCAAAGGATGACACTTTCCTTGGGGTATGGTTTGCTGCCACTGACAACACCCAAATGTTAAAAGTACCAAATGTTAAAAATAAAGACTTTGGGCCTTTACCTCAAAACTAAGCCTGGTTCCCGATGCCTACGCAGGGCTCTCCTAACGGGAAGGCCGTGAGGTCGGCAGAATGACGTTTGAGAGCCCTGCGCAAATCACTTTGCTCCGTGAAGTGCTTATTTCCTAATCAGGAAAATGGTATCAATAAAGTCTCTGCTCCCTAAGGTTGTGGTGAGGATCAAAGTGAGAAATATTTCATGAAGTGCAAAATGCCGTACACGTGTAATTATTATCTTTGCTAAATTACCACAAACTCACCCCTTGCATTGCAAGGCAGGCTGTTTTGCCACAATGTGGGGAATTTTCTGGCACCAATTATGGACTACAAAGTAAATTATTACAAGTACATAAAATGTTTCTCCTCTCTTTTTAAATGCAATGCATATCTGCTTCTCGATTTTTGCTTCATGCTTCTAATTGCTTTTTCCAGACAGCCCTGCTCCCTCTCTAGCTCACCACTATACGCCCTTTCTCCACCCCCACTCTCGCTGCCCACACGCTGCTGGCCTTTCCCCAGTTTGCAAGTGCCCCGAGCCCTCCAGCCACGGCACATCCACTTAGTCCCCCCAAGCCCCGCGATGGCTTGGACACTCAGCCCCTCCTCGGCCAGGAGGGGAAGCCCTCCCACCCTCCCACCCTGCCCTTGCTAGCGTGTTCGGTTCCTACCCATCCTGCAGGTCGTAACTTGAATGTCACTGCCTCAAAGAAGGCTTCTCTGATCCCTGACCCCACAGACAAAGCTGGGCCATCCTGTCGTACGCCCAGATGGCACCCTGCTTTTCGTTTGAAGCACTTATCAAATTGTGACTGAGCAGATA